AGTCTTCTTCTTATCATAGCATACCAACCAGCGAACACCCAGCCAAGTTTAGTTAGCCAGTTTGAGTATTCGTTACATTCTTATACTATAGATATTATAGATAACAGGGGTTTATAGTGAATAAGGAGGATATACTTACTTAGCTAGGGGGGATATATTATCCTTAATAGTGTATTATAGTTCCTTATTAATACTACTACTTTATTATATGGTATATTTTAAAGCTCTTTTTCGTTAGTATATTAACAATAATAATAAGCCTTTTAATATACCTCCGAAGCGGGGTCTATAAGCTAGCCCTATAGCGCGGGCTTCCGTTTATAAAGGAGCTACTATAAAGGCTACTAATCGGGCAGAGAATCAGGTTTAAGAGGAGGCTATAGAAGTAGGTTTATGTAACGAATACTCAAACTGGCTAACTAAACTGGGCTGGGTGTTCGCTGGTTGGTATGCTATGATAAGAAGAAGACTATCGGGTTGTTCACTTGGAAGTGAACTCGTTACTTGTATCAAAGATGTCAAACTGATATGATAANTCTGTTGAGTTTCCCCACCGTAGGATTGCGATATCATCGATGTATCCTGTTGCAAGGGTATTGTTTTCTTGATTGCAGATGTCGATTAGATCGGCATTGTAGTATAGGTATAGTATCGGTGAGATTGGTGAGCCTTGAGGAATGCCTGTTGTTATTTGGTAGGTGTCTGATTTAAATGCATCGAAGGTTATGGCTGTGTTCCGGTCTGCTAAGAAGCTGGCTATCCATCTAACTGTTCTTTCGTCTATTCTACGCTTGCGTAGGTTGTGAAGTAGTCTTGCGTGTGACACGTTGTCAAAAGCCCCGGAGACGTCGAGAAGAAGAAGGCTTGCTACCTGTGGCCGGGGTGAATTCCATGCTGCATAGATCTTTTCGATAACTGCATGTACAGCGTGCTCTGTTGATCTCCCCTTCCGTCCTCCCATGTGAGTGTTTGGAAGTAGTTGATATACCTCTGATACGTAACTGATTCTCTTCGCAATAATAGCATCCATGACCTTGCCAATAGTGTTCATTAATGCGATTGGTCGGTATGACTTGGGTGTAGTGTAGTCGTCTTTGCCAGGCTTACGGAGGACAATCGTTGTAGACTGCCGGAAATGTATTGGGCAGTATTCTAGGCGAAGACTCCAGTTAAATATTCTTGTAAGGTGCGGGGCTATCTGGGTGGCAGCAATATGAAGGATCCGGTTTATTATACCATCTGGTCCTGCGGCTTTCATTGGGCGTGTCGCGGTGATTGTCTGAAGTACTTCCTTCTCTGTAATGTCTGGGAATGGAATGTGGTCTTGGTATATGGCCTCGTTTATATCCTGTAATCTTGCGGACTATTGCGGTTAATCAACTTTGAATCAGGGGTTCACATGCTCATAATCACGTGAGTAAGAGCCTCAGGGACGGCAGATTTATCGGCGGAACCAGAGCTCCGTATTACTTTTCAGTGGGCGGGTGCCGCACTTAGTCGAGCGGGGTTGCATCTGGGCCAGCGAATCATAACTGTAACATACGGCCCGAACTACCAATTGTGACTCATTCCTCGAAACCCGCAGAAGTAGCTTCGGTCAGTTGATTGGGTTCGTTGTTTGACAGAACCAATTGATCACACTCCATAATCCCTACACAACCCCACCAAATCATGTTCCAAAGTGAACGCGAACAAATCAAATCGCTAAGATAACCGCCTTTGCCGAGAATGCGACAAGCTTTCTCTTCAAACTCGGCCTTTCGTCCGTCCAAACCTCACGCACCAAAACACTTATCACCACACTTTATCTACGATTGCCCAAGCCCACCATGAAGCTGCGATCTACGCGGATCTGTAAGCCTCGCGCTCCTCTGCGACACTTGATTGGCAGTTGTTCCCTCTGTTGTTGGAGTTGGTGGGGTGATTTGAACTGGTGGGGTCCGCTCCTACCCCGCGCTGCTAAGGATTTCCAAGGAACGTTTGACCCATGGCGGCGCAATTCGAGCCCATATTACTGTTCTGTTGGTTGGTACCGCATTGGCCAATCCTCAGACAGAATCATCCCTAGCAAAAAAAGGGGAGGCTTGGAATGCGGCTCCGTGTTGCTGAGTGTGTGGCGCAAGCAGGTGCAAGGAGTTTGTCTGCAGGGGTCAGACTTTTGGTTAGATCCCCGCCAATAGAATTTCAAGCGGGGCTTTGGGTCGAACCTCGTTTTTCGTCGGACCGATCGTATTGTTTTCCGATTGGCTTCTGAAGCGAATTATGCCGCAAATCATGACTCATTCCGCCAAAAGCTAACGAGGGCGCTTAGCAGAGAAGTCCCGTGCCACTACCAGTCATCAGTGCAGCAAAAACATCCTCATCGTGTCGCGACCGACCAAATTCCCAATCGATTGATTGGGTTTTGAGTACTATAGTAAGTCACCGACCTATCCTTCTTCCATTGCCTTCTACAATCTTCTGAGGCCCACGTCATCCTTTCAGCTATGCAACACCAAGACCATAGGCTCAGACAGCTGCTACGAAGTACGCTGACAGGAGAACTTGGGTTGTTATATGAATGGATATCCACATCTGAGTTCAACTCTAAATCCAGTTCTACATTATGAGGCGGCATCTCGTTACTTGACCTTGACTTCTTTTAAGTCGCCATCTGCTTAAAGTCGGCATGGAAGATGACGGAAAGTTGATGACGTGTTTGTTAAGTTCGTCGAACGAAGCGATTCGGGTCATTATTCCCTACCCTGGTTCCTGCGCTAGCTGGGCACGCTAAAGTGTGCTCCCTTGCACATTCCCGTTGTGCACTACGTCACCCGCGTGGCTGAATCGCACCAGTTGGTGAGCGATGACGCCCGAATCGAACGAAGCGATTCGGGTCATTTTTCGACCCCTCCCGTTCCTGCGCTAGCCACTTCCTTTACTATAAATAGTCGGCGTCTAGATCAGGCTCACTCTAGATCTCAAGCATGTATATTTTAGGGTCACGGCCCGCACATCTTGGATGCAGACCGCTCTCAATTTCTTTTTTGAGACCACAGAACAACCACTCTCTATTTGGGTAGTTCTACAAAGGTCCCCAAGCCGTCGCAGCTAGGGGTCCCACTATTTTTCTTTGCAGATGCTTCCACGAGGAATTCATAACCGTTCTTTCACCACCTCTTGAGAATTCTGCCCTCTTCCTCCTCCTTTCTCTATTCTGTAATTTTCTAATTCCTTTATTGAGTTATGAGCGAAAGATCTTACGGCATGACAGGTCGAACTGTTCCGAAGGAAGCTATAGAGTAGGTTCCGAACGCTTGCAACGATATCATCTGTATTTACAGAATATAGTCAGATACTAGACATGGATTATTACATCAAACTCTACTAGTACGTTTAATAAATCTGAGAAGTAGGATCGTGAATTTAGAGTGGAAACTACCAGTACTTTTATTACCAGTCGTTTCTAATCTCAGAAGTGGGATCGTTGACTTTGAGAAGAGAAAGTACCAGTCTTTTTAATACCAGTCGTTTCTAATCTCAGAAGTGTATGACCTCACATAAGAGTGGAAGCAACGTCTGGCAATATGTAAACAAACGTAGTGCGAGGAACCTAGGAGGAGGATTCCTCGCTCTTTGAAGAATTTTACCCGAGACCACATAATATCAGACACGCGCCATCCCGTCCTGCCTAAAAGGTCCTAGCCTGAATTGTCATCCGGGACATTTAGGCGCGCGGCAAGAATATGTAGGTGTAATGTATTCAATAATTGCTATTGGATGCTATAATTACATGCTGCACAGTCTTAATCATTCGAGTTAGCGTAAAGATTCCTCCCAATGCACATCCTGATTAGCGATGCTGATCGCACTACTTATCGACGGCCTCTTTGCTGTCAAGTGGTTTGCTAGTCTACGCCTGAAGTTGCCATCGTAGGCTTTCCATACTTGGCTTCAATATCTCGTGGAAGCAAGTTCACGGGAAGCGGGTAATGAGATTGCTGTTGGTCTTTTAGCATAGCTCTCCACGCTAGTCAAGTTGCACTTACGATTTGCTCCTTGGAAGGTGGCCATGACTCAAGATCAATAGAGTTATACATGATAAGGCGGCCTGTTTTACGGATACGCAAGACTAGTGCTACGTCGATATCGCAGAAGAATGCTATCTCGTGTGCTTTCTTAAGTAAGGTGTCTTTTCGTCTACTCAACCTCTGGCTTTTTCTTTTAGTTTTGCGGGTCATGGTTATTAGAAGCGCTGGTAGAGTGGGTTTGACGACATCGTTCCCTTAATATATGTTTCAGACCTGCGCAGTTCTAGATTCTCGGAAATGTACGTAGGCGCGGCACAGGGTAGTAGTCACGTCATAATCAAATATAGCCAATCAAGATGTATATTAAGAATAAATTTTAGTGCTAATTTGAATGATTATTGGTTAACAGCCATGCAATTATAGCATCCAATAATAATTCATAAACCTTTATAGGCCGTGTCGCGCAACTAACTACGCGCCTACCTTCCAGAACAACCTCCCAATAGGGCAGTCAGCGAAGGACCTGAGAGGCGGGTAGCGCTCGGAGGCGGGGTATATTAGCGTTCGCAGAGTAAACGCGCTAAATCGTCCACTTCGCTGGGTTGACCGCACCTGTTTCGCGAGGAAACGTCTCCCACTTAAGCGAGACGCGGTTGAAGGACCATCCATATGTCTTCCTGTATTTGCAATGCACGGTAGTTCGATTTCTTTTTAATATTTCAACTTTAATCGTCCTCTTTTCATTTAACAAACAGCGGGCATTCTTGACTCCCTAAGCAAGAAACCGCCCCGCCCTGCATATCCTATAAAAGGGAGAGGTCAGAGTAAATAAGCAAAGCCAAATCCAAATCCACCATTTGCTCTCAAGGTGGACCGGTTTAGGCCCCCGCTCCCAGGCGTTAGTTTTTGAGACAGTAGGCGCCAAATTACAGATAGCTCTCAAACGACCCTCGGTCTTATACTCGAAGGGTATTAAAGGTGACCCGGAGAGATAACCCCTCGCGACTGCGGTGCAGCACATGGTTTCCAGACTCTTTACCGGTGGCTCATCATGTTCGGAGACCTATTTAACGTAGACGCATCTATTCCAGGAGGGCAGCGACTTGAATTGAACCGTTCTGCTGCCCAGATTCCTAAAACACAGTCTGCTGGCGGGCATGGACCCATAAATAATAGTAATGACCTTGACGAATATATCAACAACACTCTTGCAGAGGAGTTTAACAAGTTGTCCCTTAACAACCCACCTCTGGCCCCATACGTTTACCCAGTCGATCCCTCTGCCGTCTCTATTTCCGATGCTAACAAGGAGCCAGAGAATCACACCAACATCAACAATATCAACGATTTCCAACCTAAAGAATCAACAATCGGACCATACAACCTATATCCTAAGCGATACTAAACGGCAGCGTGCCGGTGGGCAAGCAACAGGGTAGGCCGGGATTACGAATCACCCATCACGATCTTCGCAGTTAACTCCAGCGCAACAGAATACCAAAGGTCTGACAAGAACAAAATTGGGCAGAAAGGGGAGAAGGCGGAGAAAGAGGTCGCCTCTCCCGATGAGCATCAAAAAGGATTTGATACCTGTTCAAATACGCCGCGTTGCTAGTAACCTGATCGAAGATAATGCACTTACTTATTTTCTTGAAAATTGTCAGTTTATTTTCGAAGCTTGGACGTCGTTACTAACGACGATAGCTTCAACGAGCGTTGATGAGTCCGTCGTCGCTGCGTTTGACATAGTGCACTCTTTAACCCAGAGCAAAGATCGCAAACGCCTTACCTTAAGTTTCGCTTATGTTCATTTAAACCGCGCAATTAATACCCTCGACGCAGCAGCGGATGCTGCCTACACTGATATATACCTTAATACGAAACCCAATTCGTCGGATATCTCAAGTCGTCAACTGACCGAGTACGTACGTAGAGGTCAACGTTGGTTCACACTCGCAGGCCCGTCACCTTTCCTATTATCCGTGTATTCAAGATTAGCTGAGACAATAGTGTACGTACTACCCGCCTCTTTTGTAATTCCTTCGATACTAAACACGTATAAAGCTTCAATAATTCAATAAAGCTTGCGAACTTGCAGGCACTAGCCGAGACGGTCCAGGCTATCTATCCTGAGCTTGTCCATGCCTTGGTCACTTTCGACGACAGTAGGGGAAGTGACATGCATCTTAGAGGTGAGGTGTCATGGCCAACCTAGACAGATTAATTTAGGCAGATGCGGAGATTTATGTGGGCAGACTAATCCGAGGAGGTCAATCTGTGGACACTAATCTGGGGATATTTATTGGGCAGATGTATCTGGGGAGACTAATCTGGGGGCGTCAATCTGGATGCGAATATTTATTTGGGGAGGTCAATCTGGGGAGAATCTGGGGATTATTAGGTAGATGCATTTGGAGAGGCTAATCCAGCTACGCGAGATAGGATGTGCAACAAATTGATTTTTATTTTCTCACATGATCTAAGAGGAAGTCGGCGTATCGCCCGAAATATCAAAACATTTTAAGATCATATACTATCGATAAGTCCACCGAGATGAAACGCTAGCATATTGGCGGCTACAGAACAGATGGGCGGCTACAGAAGCTCACTAGTAACCAATTGAATACTTTGAATAAACGCCAGGCTGTCGTCTTATTTCTAGAACACTGTCTGCTGGTGGATACGGGCACGTTAACCGATCATAAGATGACATCAAATACCACCCGGGCGCTTAAAAGACGCACAGTGGTAGCTAATAATAGTATATAGTCTATAATTAGCTTGGAAGGGGTCTTATAGGGAATGTTCCTCGTCTCACAGTCTCAGAAATTCCCTCTTTCTTATCCACCAACACGCGATGCATAAGGAGCCCATACCTCTAGATGATCCTTCAGCCTTCTATAACGATACTTCATACGAAAAAGACTAGAAAACCAGCGAAGGGGATACAGAGTCGAGAGGAAAAGCTCGAGAAATTTATCGCGAATGCTAGAGAAGCTCTCATCCAGCTCGTCAATAATCATTGGGAACGGCTTGCTAGTGGTCTAAAGGTGTAAGAACTCCAAGGCATCCCTTTCAGTAGCGACAAGCGGATACAGCGAGTTTACCATCATTACGAGCTCCGAAGGCTTAGACTTGAAACAGAGCTGCATTGGTTGCGGCGGGCACTGTCGTTGATCAGGAACCTCCGCGACTTCTAGGAGTATTTGGAGAGAACGGCCATCGTCCTTCAGACACCTCAAATCATTGACTCCGCCATGCCTACTTGGTATATATATATGCTGCTGGCTTCCGTTCATCCGCCTCGAACATGTGCGATGTCAAGACGGCTTTTAAGGAAGATCTCCGATACGCTGTCCGCCGGATGATCTTTATTAACGCCTTAGGTCTCGGTGCTGTCCTTGTCTGCGGTGAAGCCATTGCGAAACTCGTGTGCGCAAGCCCTGCAGTGGCTTTCTCTCTTTGCTGACTCTGCATAGGTACAAGACCTCGGGGAACAACCATGATGACCTCGACTGGCTAGCTACCCAAATCTGGCAGTGTCGCACAATTGATTTCCGGGCCCTCTGTAGCATCTTCAATATAGTAATTGTTGATCTCCTACAGCACTACCAAGTAAAGGATCCTCTTAACTAGTTCAAACTCATAGCGAAGATCTAGACCATCGCTGGCAGGTCTACAACAAGGAGGCATTATCAGCCAGATTGATTCAAGATCATAAGGGATTATATAACAATGCTTGCCAGACTTCGACCTTGTCTCCACCCTCTCAGTCGAAGAAGGGCGGGGGTATACCATCTCGCACTCCGTGCCTTTGCCCTGGCGGAGAAAGATACTAGACAGAAAGCCTTGGCAGTTGCCCTATCCTGAACCCTCCTAAGGATTTGACTTGTATTCCCTTTGGGCAAGGTGACGGTGCAGGACAGCGAACAGGGCATAAACCAACGAGCAAGACATGTCACAACAGGAGCGATCAATAGAGATGGGATAATATATATCGTGACATACAACCTTTGATTTCTTATTCATTGTAGTATAGTAGCTTTGTATTTAAATTCTGACATGTTTTCTTGACTTTGGTTGTTACTTCATTTGCGATGTCATTTGTTCATACTTTGATCTCGCAATACCATTTGCTATATCTCGAGTACCCCTTACCATCGTTGAAGTATGTGCTTCCGTCCGAATTATAGTAGTAGTAACTTCCATCCCTACACGGCGATATTCAGTCAACGTTCTTTCTTTCACTCCCCACATAATGAAAACTAGCAGAAATCAAGGACGCTCACATATAGGAATAATAATGGTTGCCCTATTTGTTTGCAGCTGTCAGCTTGTCTCCAAATTTCAGAAAGGATCTAACAACCAAGACTGGCGAGACTGGAGAGAATGTAGACCTGCCTTCCTATTTATTCCACAGCTGATTATCTTAGAGAAGGAAGAAGTCGAACCACGGAATATGTGGATGCTTCCGCCGTTTATACGCGCTACGTTGTTAGTCGGTTTATTTCCAGCATGCTTCGAGAAAACCATTCTCATCGCAGAAGCCACGTGCCTGAGTCGCGTGTTCAGCATGTTCGACGATCTGGCGTTGGATTGTTCGTTGGAGTAATAATCTCAGGTCGTAATACTCGGAGGATAAATCACAATAATAACTTTAAAGGATCAAATTTCATATCCATTAATGTTGCTACTCTTATACTTCGAGTCCTAATACCAACGCCTAAGTCCATTTCGATTGTCTGTCTTCTTAGGAACATATAAATATAGTGGCTGGGCCAACATGTTCAAGTACAGCTTTATAACTCATCTATTCTAGGGGCAGCCCATCCGATACGGCGTGCTGTTAACCAACAACGAAGTGAAGAGGAGTTAAGGCAGCGACGGACATCGTGGTAATTAAGTAACCTGGAGCCAATGATGATAGATTTGGTTATGTAGGCTGGCTACCAATAGAGCGCAATATCGGTGACTGGTTTGACAAGACGACTCCTGCGATGTGCAACAAAATGGCTCAGAAATGGGCATATCACGTGGCTATGACGTAATATCTACCATATGTGACAGCTTCAAAACTTGGGGATGGATTCACATTGAGAGATTTGAGACGTCTTGAATTATCATCTATATCCAAATCCTGCTATTACTCTTCATGTCCTATCCAGAATGGTGTTTGAGAGCTTTCCTACGCTGGGCTACCAGGTCATGTGGGAGCAAGTTCACTGGCATCGGGTACAATTGTTGCAACCCACCCCAGATGTAAAATGGTCCTCACAAAGAGATCCCAGCTTAAATTGTCATTTGGGACTTCCTACCTGGCCTCCAGACCGTCTCAGGTTTTTCTCAGTCACAGGAGGGGATCTGCCGTAGGATATAAGCAATGGGACAGAGCACACCTCCTACGACAGAGGCCGCCCTAGGTAGCTATTTGAGCTAGATAGTCTGTCCCGGATGGCCGTTTGTCCCGGGACAAATGGCCCAGGACATATCCAAGTCTAGGGCTACTCACCCAGCACGCTTAGAACACCAGGGACCCCCAAGCCACAGGAATGGTGCCCCACCTGATCGTAGACTGTTGCTTACCCAAACGAGAGCCCAGCCTTAAGATGTTCCACCCCTCAGTTCCGCCAAGTGCCCCGCGCCCCGCCCCCACATACTTATCACCTTGCGAGGGAGGGGCCGCCGTTCTAGGCGGGTAGGGCTTAGTTTGGCTGGTTCGTGCGACCATGGATCCCTGTTATCTAATGTCAGTGTCGATTTGTCTATCCAGCTGATTATCTGTCCTGGGCAAGGTTTCATCTGGATCTGTTGAGTCTGGTCCTTTTTAGGAAGACAAGTATGAGTCACCAACCTCTCCTTCTATGGCCCACATCAACGGCGCACTGGTAGCACTGAATGTCTTGTTAGCACGTGATGTCAGCACCTAACGCGACGTACGGAATTCATGTCCCGAGATCTTCGTTTTTTCTCGATATCACCTCATTAACTTGAGTAGTAATCTAACAACATGCCTGATCCAGCACACTTCCCTCTCTAATTGGAATAAAGAGGTTGTAGATAAGGACGCTTGAATGAACGAGCCCACCAAGTCTGAACTAATATCTGCGAAAATGTCTCCGCCGCTCCGGGACACTCACCAAGTGATCGTCGCAACAATTGTTGAAGATCTTGCCTCCGCGAAATGGGTCACCGCTGAGGCAAGAGGCACAGTAGGAGTGTAAAGCGGATAGGGCTGGAATGGTCTCAATGCTAATAACTTGGCAAGTAGTAATATAGGCAAAAATTAGTGATTGCTTTGGAAATATACTTTGTCGCCGTTACTGAAGCATGATTAAATTGTGAGTATATAACGCACAGAACCTGAGATCAGATCAGCCTCTTTGATACCAGATTACGCAAAACCGATTCAGAACGCCCCGTTGCCCTGACCAGTCAAACATGCCAGCAAACTTCCTTAATGCAGATGCCAGCCCCACTTTCACATGGCGCCGAACCAAAATCACTAATAAAGAAAAATAGCCCGGGACACCTGCAAACATAATCCAGTTTGTATTCTTGGCCCCCTGTGGGAATTGAAGATAACCAAGACAAACAATAGCTCTGAAATCTAGGTGATCAATCTATCAGCTAGACCCCGTGAGACGGTTCCGTGAAACCTCTCTGCGTAAATCAGTAATTACACTCGGTCCTCCAGCCTGACGCTGCGAACCCAACAATCAATGTGCACCCCTCCTTGCAACCTGCTCACATGCTTCCTCAGAAAGTGTCTACTCAAAGAACCCGAGGTTGCATACAAGGCGTCCGGTTGGGTGCATGAATTCATTCTCGAACATGTCGAAAAAGAAATGATGAGCGATTTCAATGACATAAGAAAGGGAGGATTCTGCCCGATTTCAGCTTATCAGATAGCTGAACAGTAAGGCTGCTAACATATGTGCGATGTCTTTGCAAGTGGCCTCTAGAGGGTGTTATTTGCGCAGGCAGCGATAGCTAATGCAAGACGCCGTGCAAGGCCAGATGACTTCCCAGCACCCCCAAGAAGGGCTTACGTTCTAGAACACCGTCAGAGACAAACAGCCTATAACGTCTGTCAACTCCCAAAATTACACCAACCCTGTCTTCACGTGTTCTTCTACCAAACCAGATCAATGAAATCATACTGTGTACTGTGTGTGTACTGTGTGGTGCTGTTATCAAGCATTACACCGTGAGACTGTTCCATGAAATCTCTCTGCGTGGTTCTGTAAATGCTGTCGATGCTCTAGCCTGACGTCGCAAATCCAGCAATCTATCTGCTCCCACTCTTCGAGCTTCCGAACGTGCTTCCTTAGAAAGTGCCTGCTCAAGGAACCCAGGGTTGCATACAAGATGACCCTCTCACGAACCGGCAGCGGGTTTCCAACACACAAGAAACATATAGGCGGCCTCTTTTCTGTCTTAATCGATAGTATCGCTTAGCTTAGGGCATCAGGTTCTTCGGCTTTGACTGGAGGACCGTCATCCTTCAACGGACGTCCACGCTGGATACGACGGGAAGCCGGCCTTTCCTCCACGCCGCAGTACGCTGTTATAGCATTAACTACCGCGATCCTCCGCCGATTCTCGTGTTCGAGGGACGTCTCAGGCAGCGTCAAGATAGCGTCTATCAAAAGGAGGTGTTATAGGGTCATCTAATCTAATCGCTCAAATACGTCTCGGGTGTCCTCGTTAACCACCTTCCCAGATAACTGCCGCTCACTATCAATCACTAGCTGCTCCTTCTTGGAACGGTCTACAATATCAACCAGGAGGAGCCTCCGTTGCCGCTACTTCTCACTTTCAAGGCGACGGCAAGCTTTCTAATATTTCTCTTCCCATTCAGAATCTCCTCGGACTCCTAACAGTTTCGCGATACGACGATTCAATTTAACAATACATAGAAGGCCATTAACTAACGCAGATTACTCAGGAGTCAATTTCCATAGCTGACAGGGATCGATCGAGCGGCTCATTAAACATACAAACCTCATCAGGTCCCTCTAAGGCGCTTAGCCGCGATAGATGTTCTAAACGTCAACGTTAATATTCCAATCGAGGTAGTGTTTAAGAAACGTGTTGATGCTAGAATGTTGAAGGATAAGGTTCTAGAGTAAATCGCTAACATCTACTATTAAAAAGACATTAGTAAATAGTCTTTAGAAGGCTCGAACATTAATACATAAGGCTTTCGTTCAGCGCCTTAGCAGTGTCAAGGTAGGGAGGGGGTTGATGAATAGATTGTTCGCAAAGCTCTCCAGTCTACAGTTCGAAGCTGAATTACATACAACAGGGGTGGTCCAAGCACTCCCCGTGACTTCCAAAGCTACCATATTCACTTAATCAAAAACCTTTGCAAGCAGCCCCATCGCGGAGGACGTATGGCTTCGTTACCTACGCAAAGCCGGTAATCTGGCCGCCTATCTTTATCTAGTAGTAGACTAAATTAGAGGACAGCTATAATTACCGTGCCAGACAAACGCCGCCGGCTGCTCGACAACTTAGCAAAATATAAAATCGTCGCTTAACTTGTCCTTGAGCGGGAGCTGTTGCTTATTCATTCTATTAAGAACATTTAAACTGTACAGCTTTTCAGGGGAAGTAATGCTAGGAGATTTAAATGCCTGAGCTTTGAAAAGCATACCTTCCAGGAAGGCATAAGGGCTAAGCACGAGCGTCAGGTCGTAGATGATCTCTAGGATTTTAAATTCATTACTAGAGACTGCTTAGTTCAAACGCGAGGGGGACGGGTAAGGGGGACGTACGCATCCTTTATGCCTAGAAATGTCTTAGTGAACTCAGTGTGACGAAACTCAAACTATCTAACAAAAGTAATCGCTTCGAAGGGTTGGTATGTAGTAAGAGGTTCAAATGCGCCGGGGTGTTTACTCAGAGGTAAACTTGTCACTTATATTAAAGATGTCAAACAAGATGATATGATTGATAATTGTAGTTGAGCACGAAGCTCCTATCTACTAGCAGACATGCCAGTCTTATATAGAACCTTCGTCCTTGTTAAGCGACCCAGTCCACTGTCGCTCGGAG